GTTGAATTATTGAGCTTTTGTGAGTGTTCTTGATGTTTTGTATGTCTAGAACGATGAGTTAGGAATCCACGTTAGGATTTGGTGTCTTGAGTTGTGCTTATTATCCAACCTTGTGATTCGTTGGATTGATGTTGAGTCTTTGTGGTTCATTGGAACTATTTTGGTTTACCCGTTTGATATGCATGCTAGTTTGATGTTGTAATGCTTGTGACACCCCGTAATGCAAATTCAATTCAGGGATTAATTAAGTAATTAATCATAATCCAATTGATAATTTAATTCCTTAAATTCCTGAAAATTCAATAGTCGGGGACTAGTAATTGACTAGTCAACCCAAAGTCAAAAGTTGTACCTAAAGCTTTGTGAGTTGTTCCCTTGTTCCCTTACACATTTCATCTTAGTAAGGGTAAATGAGACATTTCCTTGATAGTAGTCTTTCAAGCTAACCTAGGAAGACACATTTCATTTCTTCAAACACTCTCCAAGAGAAAAATCATAAGCTCTACAAAATCTATTTTGCTTACCTATATGAAGATTTCTTAGATTCTACATGTGTTTTGCTATGAAATGTGAGTGTTGATGCATTGTCTTGTGAAAATGCATATCTAGAGCTTGTTATTAGGGTTCATGTATGCCATTGCTTGGCTATTCCTTTTATTCAAGTCATGTTTTTGTATTTGGTGAGATTTGGCATGTTTTGGACTTGAATTTGAGCTTGGAGTTGAAAATCCCAGAAGGGATTATTTGTGGTACAGGAGTGTACCCGCGGGCGGAACGGCGGGTAGGCGTCCTCCCGCCGCCCCACCCGCGGGGTACATGACCGGTGGGTGTGGTACCCGCGGGCGGAACCACGGGTGGGGGTCTACCTGTGGGTCCACCCGCGGGGAACAATGGTGGCTTGTTTGGGGATTTGTTCCTCGTGATTCTTTTGACTCGGTATTTGGTTTTTTTGACTTCCCGATGTTCTTTTGGGGAACTATTTGAGTGTCTTCTTGATGTTTCGTATGCCTAGAACTATATGGTAGGAATCCATGTAGGTTTTGGTGTCTTGAATCGTGCTAAGTGTTCAACATTGTGATTCGTTGAACCATGGTGAGTCTTGTGTGTTCTTCGGAACTATGTTTGGTTTACCCGTTTGATAAGCATGCTAGTTCGGTGTTTAAATGCTAGCATGTGTGTTGTTTGTCCTTTCCTATTGTGGATGATGACTTGTGTTAATCCTCGTTGTTGTTGGACTGTGATCTATTCCTTGATTGAGTATGGTTTCATATCTTCATTGTGATCCGTTGATTGATTCCTGTTGTGGTGTGGTGTGTGTGGCTGTACCTGGATTGCACGATTAGTGGTATGAGACACTAGTCACCAAGGTGCGACAGTGGTCCTCGTGGTGGCCATGATGCAATTATGGAGTTTGTGACCTGAGTGATGGGTTCACGTATTTCTTGGGTGGCATGTATTGTCGTGTGTGTGATCGGTACCTCGTGTACTATGAATCGGTGGTCTTGTTGGTGGTCGTTGGTGGGGGACGACGGTCCCAGGAGGGAATAGGTTGGACTTGGTTGTACAGGGGTCCTGGAGATAATGGTTGGAACTAGACATAAGGTTGGGGGTAGCCATAAGGTTGGAACCGGGCATAAGGAAGGCATATCAATTCGTGATGGGTGATCTCACGAAGGTTTGTATAGCCGTTGTTGTGTATTTCTCTATTTGTGACGTGTGTAGTCACAAAGGCCTGTGTTGCCAATGGTTGTGTCCTTATTCTCTAGTGTTACGCATGTCGGGTGTTAATCTACTATGTGATGGTAGATTATACCTTGAGCCGTTCTTGTGACTCGTTATTACTTCTTGCCAATGGTAGATTATACCAATGGTTGTCCTTAGCAAATGATTTTGTATATATATTAACTATCTACATATGATATTTCACATGTTTTGGTGGGTTACCAGCATCATTCGCTGACTGGGCGTCGTCCCTTATTTTATGTGTTTCTTTCAGGTGATGAGTAGAGGAGAGCGCGGTCTAAAACCTGTTAGCTTAGATCCCTTTGTTTTGAGATGTTGTGGCCTGTGTGCCAATGTTAGACATTAGTACTCCTGTTTCTCAATGAATTTAGATTGCGGATTTATGCAGATGTTTTGCCTGTGCGTTCACCTTTGGGTGGGCGTGGCATAGCACCCTTTATTTCCTATTCATATATTCCTTGTGTAACACCCCAGATTTTCAAGATATTTAAAACATAAAATAAAGGTGAAATCTCATTAAATCCCAAAACATAATACAAGAGTGCGGGGTGCTATGCCACACCTGAGCTAGAGAACTCAGGTGCACAGGCTAACTATCTAATATCCTTGGTAATGTAAATGCATAAACATGGCACGCAGGCCGAAAGGGAAACTATCTACTTCTACGTTCCAAGTTCTAGCGCGCTCCAGTGACTTATTCTTCTGTGCCTGAAAGCCAAATATATCTGTTCAGCGAGAGATGCTGGTAACCCACTCCAACGCGTTGAAATACAATACATATAGAGATATATATAGATATACGAAAACCATTTTGAAGCATGAAGATCTATCCAATGAGACTCTAGCCTTTAAAACCGGGAATGACTCGACAGATAAGGCTAGACACAAGCAACAGTTATAATCAAGCGTATACAATCCACAACGGCAAGACAGATAAAGCTGATCGCAAATAATAATCATAACCCAACATACATAATCCCCAGCATAAGTCCCATAGTCACATCCCCCGATATACTCATAAACACAACTCATCCATATCTCATCACATAGCACACTTTGTTGGCGCCACAGGACCAATCGCATGCCCATACATGAGGGTCAGCGCATATAGCTCTGACACGGCCCCGCAGCACCCTGCCCCGTCTCACATTACGGAGGAGCCGATCGCAACCGGCTGATCGACCTTTGTCCTACATAATATTTATATAACTGACCGGTCTTTACCAGCCTGGTTTACAGTTGAGATGGTTCTCAGCCCATTCAACTGCCCGTATAGTGGACCTTTGTCCTATATAATATTTATATACCTGACCGGTCTCTACCAGCCTGGTTAACAGCCGGTATGGTTCTCAGCGCATCCGACTGCCCGTATAGTGGAACTTAGTCCTATATAATATTTATATACCTGACCGGTCTCTACTAGCCTGGTTAACAGCCGGTATGGTTCTCAGCCCACCCGACTTCCCGTATAGCCCGATTGATCTTTAACCAATTCGGGGTTACAAACACACATAACACATAGCAAGTATATGCAACCCACATTAACACGTTGGGAAGGGGGAGAAAACGTATAACAAAACCTATGCGTGATCCTTCACATACTAAGAAAGGTCCTAAGGGGTTCATACTCCTTTCACCTAGGTCAACGGGATACCAATTCCACTAGCATGCAATATATAAGACTCATACAACCTACGAACGGTACCCGAAACATCAAACTAGACATAGGCACGATAGACGGAGTCCGTTGGGACACCACGGGGGTCGGGGAAACATCAAACGGGGAAGTCGAAACCCCAAAGCGGGGTTCAAACCAGCGGGTAGCCGGTGGGTGAGGGATCACCCGCCGGCGGAAGCAAATGCGGGCAGCGGGTGCCCGGCGGGCAGCTGCCCGCCCGCCGGCTGCCCGCTGCCGGCGTTGCCCAAGAATGCCGCGGGTAGGTGGCGGGTCCCCTAACCCCACCTACCCCCCACTGACTCTTTCATCACAGAAAAACGCCCCGGGAACCATTGTGGAACCCGAAACCATGCTTAGACACTTTACAACGCAATTAACGATCAACACGTAGACAATTAACGGATCAAATACAAGAAACGTACGGCACATAACCTATCATGTTTTTCTAACATAATCGACACCCCAAACATGCAATTTCCCACCCGATAAACCAAGAATGATATCATACGATACAACCTAGGGTTCTAATCACTTTTATACCAACAGGGATACGATTCGTCTTCTAATTACAGATTCGGTAAGAATATCACATAAGTATCAAGAACACCAACAAGAACATCAACCTAGGGTTCTAATTACTTCTATATCAACAAAAATACGGTTCGTCTTCTAATTACAAGATTCGGTACGAATAACACATAATCATCAAGAACGCCATACAATTATCCGGAACAACATATAATCATCAAGAACTCCACATAATCGTTAAGAACACCATAATTATCAAGAATCTCCCAATATCAAGATCACCCATGGAATTATCCCATTAATCATCAATAATAATATCACAAGTCATCAATACACAATAATATGGGGAAATCCTACGGGGGAAATCATAGCAATGAAAATAGGTTTTGTTGAGACATGGGTTACCTCTTAGCCTTAATTAATTCATTGGCTATGAAGAGTCTTTCTTTAAGCTTTCTTGCTTTCTTGATTTCTTCTAGGGGGATTCTTGGAGCTCTTTAGGGTGGTGGGCGTTATTCTTGTGGTGGGGGGTTTCTAGGTGCCTCTTAAGTCCCCTATTTATATATTTAGGAGTCCTAGTTAGGAACTAATATTATGGGCTTGCTAATTCTATTTCTTTTGGGACTAAGGATTGGGTTTAGGGATAAGGGCCCGTGGACTATGGTGGGCCTTTCCTAATTAATTATTGCGATTTAATTCTTCCTTTTGGGTAATTGATCAGATGATTTAATTGATCTTAGGGGTCGTAACACGGGGTGTTACACCCTGTTTTGTCTTCCGCTGTGTATGATGTTATGACTAGTTATCTGCATGTCTAAGGCTTAATTTAGCATGGAAATTAGGGGGGTGTTACAGTTGGTATCAGAGCCTAGGTTGATAAAGTCTTGACTTTTAAGTGGATAAGTGTGGTTTGAGACCTTAAGGTGACCATAACTATCTAAGTGTTTAAGTTTAGGATTTCTTAGGATGCGCGGTGCGTTGAGCGTTGTTTACAGTTGCTTGCTTGTTTGTTGTCTTGTTGGTAATCGTGTTGTTGTTGTAGAAGCTTGCGATGCCTCCTCGTCCTCGGGCGCGTACGCCAGAGACCCCGACGAATGAGCAGCTTGCGCAGAACCTCCAGCAGTTGACGCAGACGATGCAGACCCTTAGTGAGGCCTTGTTGCAGAATAACCATCCCGTGCCACCTCCTCAGCCTGCCGGGCATAGGGACATTGGGCGTCTCCTGTCGGGTCACAGGCCACCGACCTTTGCGGGTGAGGAAGACCCGGTTATCTTGGAAGAATGGATGAGGACGTTTGACAAGATCTTCTCGGTTGTCGGTTGTCCAGAAGAGCGAAGAGTAGAGCTTGCAACGTTCTACTTCTGTCTTGAGGCTGATTTATGGTGGATGCATGAGGGCCCAGCTTGCCTTGAGGAGCCTGAGTTTGGATGGACCGCTCTAACGGATGGGATGCGCGAGAGGTTTTATCCGGCACATGTTAGTGCTGCAATGTATGAGGAATTCCTTCATCTCCAGCAAGGATCTTTATCGGTGGTTGAGTACCACAAGAGGTTCCTAGAGCTTGAGCGTTTCGCCCGAATGCTTGTGCCTACGGAGCTCGCCATGGTTGAGAAGTTTGTAGCTGGCTTGAACTACGAGGCACGGAAGGCCCTAACCGTGAGTTGGCCGAGTTCTTTGAAGGAAGCATACCTGAGTGCCGCGGATCTGTACCGTGTTCAGCAGTTGCAGCGAGGATCTTATGAGCTTGCAATGAAAAGAACCGAGAGTGGAGGCTCTTCCAGCTTCAAGAAGCCTAAGCCGAGTTTCCAAGCTAAGAATGCATCATCTCCAACCCAAGGACCCAATCGAGCGGAGCATGGGAATCAAGTCAAGACGTTTGCTTGTCGTAGATGTCGGAAGCTGCATGCTGATCAGGACTGTCGTGGTCAAGCGTTCCGGTGTTTTCGTTGTGCAGACAGGGGTCACAAGGTCGCCGAGTGCCCTCAGCAAGCCAATCAATGGGCGTTGCCACCACCCCCAGGAGCCGGAGGAGCAGCAGGAGGTAGTTCTAGCCGTGGAGCAGCTGGGTCTAGGTCGTCAGGAAGGGTGTTCGTGATGGGACGATCGCAGCCAGAGAACGAGGGCTTGGTGGAGGAAGAGCTAGCAGGTAACCTTTTTGTAGCCTACCCTTGACTTTAGAACGCGTTTTGTTCTTGGCGCCTTCGTGTGTTACCTTGTTTTTCTTTGATTGTCTGTTGGAGTCGTTTCGTTATCCTTGTTATGTTTTCCTCTTTGGTGAATGATTCTTCTGGACCTAAGTGTAAGCCCTTCTTGATTAGTGATTCTTTTAGTCGGACGTTCAAGCATTTTCGTAGAGATAGTTGTTCACCCCTAAGATGAGTCATGCTTGGATTAAGTCCATAATTGTTGCACATGTACAAATTGTAACCTTTCCTTCTTGTGAGTTACTTAAAACTCTCCAAGCAATTCTTCGAATTTGGAATGGAAAATCCATAAAAATCCTTTCTTGTGAAGCCTAAAAGACAAATAGACTTTTATTTGAAAACCTTAAGTTTTGAACTTGGGTATATCATTTGTTAACCTAACCCTCTAACCACTTAAGCTAATTATGTTTCTTAAAACCTACCCAATTTTAATTCCATCTAAACCATAAATTCTCACTTTACCCAAATCCCCAAATTAAATCATCTTTTTCCAAATTTCTTCCCCAAATCCCTAAACCCCCAAATTCTTCTCTTCTTCTTTCCTCCCTTCCCCTACCCGTAGAGTTCAGCCGGGCCACCCCCCCTCCCACAACCCGTCACCACCCGCCCGGTCCCCGTCGCCGATCGAACCGCTGCCACCTATAGTCGCCGCCGCCACCTGCCGGAGCTCCCCGCCGAACAGCCGTGTCCACCGGAAAGCCGAGAGAGCAGCGAGAGAGTGAGAGGCAGCGAGAGTGAAGAAGAAAAAGAGGAGGAAAGCCTTGGGTCCTTTTTGTTGAGCTTTGGGTCATCTCCAACCATGCCTAGGATGTCAAGTTTGACAAGAAAAGTGGAATGGGTGGATACCCATTATCTCGTTCTTGAAGGTAAAGCTTTTGAGCCAGAATCGTTTTCTAGTTCCTTGTTGGATATGCTTAGATTTCAAGGTTTGTTGGATGGGTTTCTCTCCATAAGGGCCGAGACTTACCCCAGTTTGGTTAAAGAGTTTTATCGTCACATGGTTGTGACAAAGGATGGTGGTAAGCTTGAAGTCACATAAAAGGTGAGAGGTGTGAAAGTGGTTTTGTCTGAAAACAGGCTAGCTCAGGTTTTGAGTTTATCTGCTTCGGGTGTTGCTCAGTACAGTGGTAACTCGTGGATTAGTACGGATACCATGGGGTACTGGGACTATTTGAGTTATTTGTTGGGTCGCACGAGTGGTTTCACTCAAGCCTCGAGGCCGGAGAAGAAGTGGTTGTCCGCCGAACAAAGGATTTTGGTAATGCTTGTGTCAGATTGCTTGTTGCCCAATAACAACAAAAGTCGGTTGTTGGGGAAGTTGGAGTGCACCTTTGCTTTTTGCCTTAAGAATATGGTAAAGTTCAATCTGTCAGCTTTGATGTTGCAACATATGGTCTTCTGTCGTGACCACAACCGAAAGAGCCTACCGTATGGTATGGTGTTGAGTTGGATTCTTGTCAAGAAGGGTGTGAGCGTTGATGGTTGTATCCCGAAGACCGTTCGAAAAATGGTGTTGGATGCCATCAATTTGCGAAGTTGCAACTTGTTTCAGTTGGATGATGGTGATTACATCACGCTAGAAGAAGATGCTAAGAAGTGTCCCGAGGAAAGAGATGAGTTGGCTGTAGAGCTCGAGATTCCTGTTGGAAAGTTGGACCTTGCTGTCCAGAGTCTGGGAGGTGATGTAGAGGTCGAGGGTGAAGCGGACCAAGAAGAGGAAGTGGAAGCGCCAGAAGATGCCGAAGTTGAGGAAAGCGATCCGGAAAGCGAAGAGAACCGAAGGAGGAGGGAAGCCCGAACCAAGAGGGAGCACGATGCTATGACGCACGAGGAGCGTGTGGTCACCTTGCTACGTCAACAGAATCAGATGATCGAAGAAGGCTTCGCTTTCATGAAGACGCAGTTTGTTGCCGTTCACCAGATGCTAGACCAGATTGATGCCAGCTCAAGCCAAAGAGGAGGAAACGAAGAAGAGCCCGAAGAGAGCACCGACGAGTCAGAGAGCGAGTCGTTTTAGCTTAGTGTTGTGGTAACCTCGTTCACCCCTTTTTTTTCTTCTTTAGCTTGTGTTATCTTTTAGTTGTGTTACCGTTGCCTGTTGTTGTGGGTTGCTTCGTGTGTTTGTTTTGCTTGCTTGCTGGGTTGGTATGTTGGTTTAGTGGTTTCTGTTAGAAGTTATAGGTTCCTTGGTGGTTGGGTGGAAGTTGTTGGTTGTGGTTGGTTTAGAGTTTGTTATGCTCAATATCTCCATTGGTTAAATTCTTTCAATCCTTGTATCGATATACCTTCTTGCTTATGTTTGATACCTTTTGAATCCTTTGAGTTTTGACCAAATAAGGATGTTCTTGACACTCTTGTCACATTGTTGTTCCATTAAATCGTTTGATCTAATTCGTCGAACCCAAGCTTCAGGGATGAAGCTTCTTTGAAGGGGGAGAGGATGTGACACCCTGTAATCCAAATTCAATTAAGGGATTAATTAAGTAATTAATTCTAATCCAATTGATAATTTAATTCCTTAAATTCCTGAAAATTCAATAGTCGGGGACTAGTAATTAACTAGTCAACCCAAAGTCAAAAGTTGTACATAAAGCTTTGTGAGTTGTTCCCTTACACATTTCATCTTAGTAAGGGCAAATTAGACATTTCCTTGGCAATAGTCTTTCAAGCTAACCTAGGAAGACACATTTCATTTCTTCAAACACTCTCCAAGAGAAAAATCATAAGCTCTCTCTCTGATCTCTAAAAGCTAGTTAGCTTTCTCTTCAAGCCACACCTAGGGCTACTAAGATATTTCAAGTTTGCTTTCAAGATTCTACCTTTCATACTTTTGAGCATCTAGGAGGGTAAGATCTAAGCTCCTCTAGTGTTTTTAGTTATTTCTAAGGTATCTTTTTACAAAGGTGAAATCTTTATGTTGTTTTGGTATGTTCTTGAAGTGGGTGTGGAAAGGGAACCTTGTTGGGAGCCTTGTGGAGTGTTGTAAGTGAAGGATAAGTCTTCAAGAGGTAACCCATGCTCTACAAAATCTATTTTGCTTTCCTATATGAAGATTTCTTGGATTCTATATGTGTTTTTCTATGAAATGTGAGTGTTGATGCATTGTCTTGTGAAAATGCATATCTAGAGCTTGTTATTAGGGTTCAGGTATGCCATTGCTTGGCTATTCCTTTGATTCAAGTCATGTTGTTGTATTTGGTGAGATTTGACATGTTTTGGACTTGAATTTGAGCTTGGAGTTGAAAATCCCCGAAGGGATTATTTATGGTACAGGAGTGTACCCGCGGGCAGAACGGCGGGTAGGCGTCCACCCGCCGCCCCACCCGCGGGGTACATGGCCGGTGAGTGTGGTACCTGCGGGCGGAACCACGGGTGGGGATCTACCCATGGGTCCACCCGCGGGGAACAACGTTGGCTTGTTTGGGGATTTGTTCCCCGCGATTCTTTTGACTCGGTATTTGGTCTTTTGACTTCCCGATGTTCTTTTGGGGAACTATTTGAGTGTATTCTTGATGTTTCGTTTGTCTAGAACTCTATGGTAGGAATCCATGTAGGTTTTGGTGTCTTGAATCGTGCTAAGTGTTCAAGATTGTGATTCATTGAACCATGGTGAGTCTTGTGTGTTCTTCGGAACTATGTTTGGCTTACCCGTTTGATAAGCATGCTAGTTCGGTGTTTAAATGCTAGCGTGTGTGTTGTTTTTCCTTTCCTATTGTGGATGATCACTTGTGTTAATCATCGTTGTTGTTGGACTACGATCCATTCCTTGATTGAGTATGGTTTCATATCTTCGTTGTGATCCACTGATTGATTCCTGTTGTGGTGTGGTGTGTGTGGCTATACCTGGATTGCACGATTAGTGGTATGGGACACTAGTCACCAAGGTACGGCAGTGGTCCTCGTGGTGGCCATGACGCGATTATGGAGTTTGTGACCTGAGTGATGGGTTCACGTATTTCTTGGGTGGCATGTGTTGCCGTGTGTGTGATCGGTACCCTCGTGTACTATGAATCGGTGGTCTTGTTGGTGGTCGTTGGTGTGGAGCGACGGTCCCAGGGGTTGTACAGGGGTCCTGGAGGTAATGGTTGGAACTAGACATAAGGTTGGGGGTAGCCATAAGGTTGGAACCGGGCATAAGGAAGGCATATCAATTCGTGATGGGTGATGTCACGAAGGCTTGTATAGCCGTTGTTGTGTATTTCTCTATTTGTGACGTGTGTAGTCACAAAGGCATGTGTTGCCAATGGTTGTGTCCTTATTATCTTGTGTTATGCATGTCGGGTGTTAATCTACTCTGTGATGGTAGATTATGCCTTGAGCCGTTCTTGTGAGTCGTTAGTACTTCTTGTCATATTTGGATGTGTTCCCTTATCTTGTGTGAGTGCAAATAGTCTTGTGTTGATCTCTATCTTGGCTTTGAAATTGATATATACTATATCCCATTTCGCAAATGATTTTGTATATATATTAACTATCTACATATGATATTTCACATGTATTGGTGGGTTACCAGCATCATTCGATGACCGTGCGTCGTCCCTTATTTTATGTGTTTCTTTCACGTGATGAGTAGACGAGAGCGCGGTCTAGAACCTGTTAGCTTAGATCCCTTTGTTTTGAGATGTTGTGGCCTGTGTGCCAATGTTAGACATTAGTACTCCTGTTTCTGAATGAATTTAGATTGCGGATTTACGCAGATGTTTTGCCACTGCGGTCACCTTTGGGTGGGCGTGGCATAGCACTCTTTATTTCCTATTCATATATTCCCTATTTAGTCTTCCGCTGTGTATGATGTTATGACTAGTTATATGCATGTCTAAGGCTTAACTTAGCATGGAAATTAGGGGGTGTTACAATGCTTGTGTGTGTGGTTTGTTCTTTCCTATTGAGGTTGGCAACTTGTGTTGACCATCGTAGGTGTCGGATTGTAATCCTTCCTTGTTGAGTATGGTTTCATATCTTTATTGT